CTTAAATTGTTTTCATGTTATGTTTGCTACCATCTATATAAATTATCATTTCTTTGTATTATCTTCCTTAAGATATGAATTCAGGGAATTATTTACTTACCGACCTCACAGTTATCACCTCCATATCCTGACAGACACACACACTCATAGTAGGTCTGGAAATTATTACACCCGCCATTGTTCAAACACGGATCAGGTTGGCATTGGTTGATAGCTGGAAATATATTAAATGTGTATATTGTATTAAACACATTTTGTAGGAATGTCAAAATATTGATGCGAGAGGGGCGTCAACTGCGCACACATGGGAATTGAGTCCCAAGCAACAATAACACCACACGATAAAAACGCAAAGGCTCTTGGGTAGACGCATGTTTGTAAACAATGACACGCTATGGCCATCTGATGCATGCACAGGTGATGACTCCCCCGCTTTAACTTTATAATTAAACTATTTATAGATAATTCATCGCCTGTACCCAATATTTCAAAGGCCTTATCACAATAGATTTGGGTTACCTTACACTCACATGCACACCCAAGATAAGAGTAAATTTTCAAACCAGTTGTACATGAAACTCAGTTTTGCTAAAAGTATATTCCTGATGATCAAATTAGTATTAATGTTGATCAATCTTACGAGATCAACATTGCTGCATGCATGATATCCATGCAACCACACATCTAAAACTATTCTGCAGCACATATCTCCACAACAGTGGAATCAAGGAAGAAAACTTACCTGTATCACAGTTTACTCCTGTCCATCCAGGTAAACAGGTACATGTATAAGAAGTTCTGTAATTGGTACATGTGCCACTATTCATACAGGGATTGACAGGTGAACACAGATCAATTTCTATGTGCAAAAGAGTACAAAGCAAAAGTAATAATTACAAGAAGTTCCTATTTGGTTACCAATTTTGGAAATAACAATTAATAGAATCTGGTAAGTTACATGATTATGGGACAATTAACACTCACCGTTTTCGCACTGGTTACCTGTAAATCCAGGTACACACTGGCATGTATAGTAAACCTGGAAGTTACTACATGTAGCACCATTCAGGCAAGGGTTGGTTGGGAGGCAGAGTTGTATTGCTGGGAATAATGAAGATAACATATAGTTACACTCCATTCGGGGTTACATGGTATGATACAGGTTCATACAAACATGGAGAACAGACACAAGTAAATAAATACATTTGTAAAACTTATGTCAGTAGCTGCAGGATGCATGGGATTTGGAAGTCTACAAATGTTCATGGGATTTGGATGTCTACAAATGTTCATGGGATTTGGATGTCAACAAATGTTCATGGGATTTGGATGTCAACAAATGTTCATGAGATTTGGATGTCAACAAATGTTCATGGGATTTGGATGTCAACAAATATTCATGGGATTTGGATGTCAACAAATGTTCATGGGATTTGGAAGTCTACAAATGTTCATGGGATTTGGAAGTCTACAAATGTTCATGGGATTTGGATGTCAACAAATGTTCATGGCATTTGGATGTCAACAAATGTTCATGGGATTTGGATGTTGACAAATGTTCATGGGATTTAGATGTCAACAAATGTTCATGGGATTTGGAAGTCAACAAATGTTCATGGGATTTGGAAGTCAACAAATGTTCATGGGATTTGGATGTCAACAAATGTTCATGAGATTTGGATGTCAACAAATGTTCATGGGATTTGGATGTCAACAAATATTCATGGGATTTGGATGTCAACAAATATTCATGGGATTTGGAAGTCTACAAATGTTCATGGGATTTAGATATCAACAAATATTCATGGGATTTGGATGTCAACAAATGTTCATGGGATTTGGAAGTCTACAAATGTTCATGGGATTTAGATATCAACAAATGTTCATGGGATTTGGATGTCAACAAATGTTCATGGATTTGGATGTCAACAAATGTTCATGGGATTTGGATGTCAACAAATGTTCATGGGATTTGGATGTCAACAAATGTTCATGGGATTTGGATGTCAACAAATGTTCATGGATTTGGATGTCAACAAATGTTCATGGGATTTGGATGTCAACAAATGTTCATGGATTTGAATGTCAACAAATGTTCATGGGATTTGGATGTCAACAAATGTTCATGGGATTTGGATGTCAACAAATGTTCATGGGATTTAAATGTCAACAAATGTTCATGGGATTTGGAAGTCTACAAATGTTCATGGGATTTGGATGTCAACAAATGTTCATGGGATTTGGATGTCAACAAATGTTCATGGAATTTGGATGTCAACAAATGTTTTTGGGATTTGGATGTCAACAAATGTTCATGGGAATTGGATATCAACAAATGTTCATGGGATTTAGATGTCAACAAATGTTCATGGGATTTGGAAGTCTACAAATGTTCATGGGATTTGGATGTCAACAAATGTTCATGGGATTTGGATGTCAACAAATGTTCATGGAATTTGGATGTCAACAAATGTTTTTGGGATTTGGATGTCAACAAATGTTCATGGGAATTGGATATCAACAAATGTTCATGGGATTTAGATGTCAACAAATGTTCATGGGATTTGGAAGTCTACAAATGTTCATGGGATTTGGATGTCAACAAATGTTCATGGGATTTGGATGTTGACAAATGTTCATGGGATTTAGATGGCATACTTGTTATCTATTTTATAAATGTGGTAAAGGGAAAGGTTGATGTCAGATTGTATACAATAAAATTAATATGGCTTGTGGAAGGAAAGTTAAATACCGGTAATGCTTGCCAGGTGAGGGTGTCGTAACAGGCTGATCTTGTGTGTTTTGTGAATTTAGAAGTAAAATACTTGAGTTAAAATATTGTATAATTCAATGTAATTTGGTTGAGAGTATATTTTATTGTGCAGATTATGAATTACTGCGTTGTGATAGTCTAGTTTTGAACTGTTGTGTGTGTGGTCACTGGTTTTGCTAACATTTTGCGAGTTTGAAAATGGGATTTGAGCGCTGGTTTTGTGTTTGCCACTGACAACATAGCTATAGTGTTCTTCCTCGCGAAGTACTGCAAGTTAAGTTTTTCGACCATTGAGTTCACACATTTTGAAGATGTCCACCTGCATGTTTATTTAGATTTTGTGTGTATAATTTATATTTATTAATCCCCATCCATGTCTGTACTCACTGTTATTACTATTATTACTGTCATTGCTGTTAACGCAATATTTCTGGACTAGTACAATAAAGACTAGGTTTGTAATACTTATTGAGTATCATTCTTCCATTATCGGGAGTGGGGGCTCGTACCATGTGTCAGTCTCTGGGGTTAAGTCTGTATTGTCACTTGGACCTTACCCTAGGGACATAACAGCTACCTACCAATATCACAGTTGTTGCCAATCCAGCCTGCAGTACACTGACAAGAGTAAGCATTGATCTGATCATCACAGGTAGCACCATTCTTGCATGGTCCACTGGAACATTCATTAACTTCTACAATTATAAATCAACAAGAACTTAGAAATAACTTGTGTGTGCTTAAGAGTATTTAAGACATACAGTACAAATTAAGGAATACCGTATTTACAAATGGTTATGTAAATCGTTTGTTATTTTCACATGGTAGCCATATGCAAAACATACCACATCATGTGTGCTATTAGAATGCATGGACATGAAATGTTTATAACATCTGTTCATTTATGTAAGAGCACACACACACACAAACACATACTTGTATTCCGTGTTCCGAGGACTTCATTGGATTAAATTTTAATATAGTTGAATTAACTTTTAATATAGTTGCGATATGAACTCGATTAAAACACGTTCTTATATAGGGTTGCATTTTAATTGGAGTTTAATTAAACAAAAGTTGAATATCCTGAGACTGAACATAGAAATGTTTGCGAAGCTTAGGTTTAGTAAAGGGAGAAGGTATGGTACAATTATATTAATATTAATATAAACTGTACCATGATACCTTCCCTTTTTATTAAACCGAAGCTACGCAAAACATTAATAATAAAATTAATTATTAAATATAAATTATGTTTTCGGAGGACTATGAAAAAGGTTTTGTATTTGTTTGTATGTATTAAAAACTGTCCACAGTTGACACCTTTCACACACATGTGCTATTATAATGTATGATACAATTTATAATATGTAAATATAATTTATTATCCGAACACATCAGTTAATAGCATAACTTCTCAACATAAAATTTAGTCCTTTTCTTAATATTCCCTAAAATATAAAGTCCATAAGAAATGATAATCTTACCCGTTTCACAATGAGTTCCGACAAAACCAGCTGAGCATACACAATTATAAAATGTCTGAGAATTGTGGCAGGTAGCACCATTCTGGCATGGAGACGACTCGCATACATCAATTGCTGGAAGAAATAAATTACACTGTTCTTACTCCAAAAAAAAAAATAATTAAAATTAATTTTTGTGCTAGCTAACTATCCACCAATGTGCAAGTACTTTGTATACATATATTTAAAAAGTCAGCTTATTAAAGTTGTTATATGTTGGCAAAATTTTGTTTGAGTAAATATATTGAGTGATATGTACTCTAATAAATACAACAGCCAATGACTGAAAGTCACCAGGCAGTTATGAAGCTTTCTTTGTGATTGAGTTTTAAGCATAAAAGACTATATTACAAAATCATTGTTCGATGTGAAGTATTCGGGTTGGGTTGAGCAGACCGGTCATGCTTTCGACTTGGTTGACTTTAGGGTGATTAATACTTACGAATTGCACAATTCAACCCAGTCCATCCTGGAGTACATGAACACAAGTAAGAGGTTCTATAGTTTGTACATACAGCACCGTTCTGGCATGGATCAGGCTCACATAAATCAATTTCTACAAATACATGAAATTCAAATAATTTAAACAGATATAGGACACTGGATATTAGATACATTTTGGGCTCCCTGGTTAGCAAAATATAATTTATATTAGTTAAATATAATTTAAATGATTTTGCTATTTTGGAGGGCAACATACAAGCATGTCTATTCAAAAACCCAGAAGCAAACAGGCTCCTGGGCGACTGACTGTAAAATTCTGGAACACACACACAAGAACTCAAAACTAGTCCACAGATGCATCACAAGAAATATGAAAAATAGTTTGTTTTGTTATTGAGAAAATACAGTGGAAACATTTTTGAATTACCGGAGGTACATATTTGTTTTCAAGCATTGACTGTAATTGTATATTTTGATTTGTTACTGAAGAATATGATTTTTTATCAAATGCATGGTCACTAAAGTGCAGATATTAAGATAGTACTCACCAATATCACAGTTAAGACCTTTCCAACCAGGAACACATGTGCACTGATAGCTGTCAAATAAGTTATTACAGGATCCACCATTCTCACATGGATTGCTCGTACATTCATTGTAATCTGACAAGAGGATTAGGAAATACAGTTTAGAATATATCAACTGGTTTTCCAGTTACTGTAAAATGACTAATTTTCACTGGGTTTAAATTTTGCTGATTTACCATTTTAGGTATATTCAGTGGGTTTTATCATTTAGATAATGTGTTCTATGTTAAAATTTACATATTCACTGGGTTTTAATTTAGCGCATTTTCCAGTCAGCGAAATAAGGCAAAATTAAAACCCAGTTAATAATTAATCCTTTTCCAGTTCTTGAACGTTCTTGAAGCATTACATGTATCAGTACACTATAACTCCCCTGCATCTCAATTTCTGTCTGCCTAGTATCCGAGAAATTACAGATTTGATCCCCTAGGTTGAAATAGAATTTCTAAACAGAAAAAAAACACTACATTCTTCCAGACTTGAGGCATACTTGAGAGAATAGGATTCATATGCTGTTCCTGTTCTGTGTATATGTAAAACATTATTGCCAAAATGAGTAGAAGGTTACCATGGGATAGCAGAAACGTTCTCTTCTGTGGCATCCTGACTTATAAATGTTGTTTGCGTGTATTATTTACTAAAACATTATCCGCCAAGAGATCAGCAGTAATAATATACATGTACTAGTAACAAGAACAAAATATTGGGTAACTAAACAAACAAATATGATAAAATTTGATATTAACAACATGCTAAATAATAAATTTTGATTTTTCAGTAATTATACAATTTTCATTCTTTGTCAAAATAAATTTAGTTTGTCTTAATTCATAAAACCAGAGACGAATGTTGAAGCTTCTTTATATCGCTGTGTCTTAGCTGAATTTATATAAGACAAAATATAATGGAGTTGAAATTATCTTTTATTTCCTCTTTTTTACAAATGTTGTTAATTCATAATTATTCATGTAGTCTAGTATTTTCTAGGTTGGTCAGGCAGTTTTCTAGTTTAATGTCATATTCAAAATGTTTGTAGGTTTTTTGATTTATTTTTGCGAATGAATATTTTGTATTTTTGTTGTCATTATTTATTTCCGTTTTTCAGTATATTAGTGAAGTAGCTGTTTCTCTAAGCAATGTAATAAAAACAATTTCATGAATAAAGCATTACCTAACTCGCAGTTTTGACCAGCAAATGCTGAAAGGCAGTCACATGTGTAATAGTTGTAATAGTTGTGACATGTTCCTCCATTTTGACATGGAAACGAATTGCATGGGTTCATTTCTGAAAAAATAAAAGCAAAAATGTGTTACACAAACTAGTCGGGTGATGGCGCTCTCGCCACCTGAATAGTCGTTCTTAGCGAAGACCTTGCATTTAAAGATGCAAAGTTGTCTGGTAACTAATATATTTTTAACCAGAGTGAGACCATTTTTCAGAATACACAAGCTAATACAGATAATAAATGAATGAACTGTCAGTCATCGCACAGTCCCTGTAGTCTCTCACTTGAGCCAGTGGTATGTAGAACGTGATGGTCGGTGCGTCAGCCCACAGTCACTACTAGGTAGAGTAGAGTGGTCAACCGAATCTACAATATTCGAAACTTATCGATGTTTTTCGCACACTAGAATTATCCCATCCTGCTCGCATGCCAATGCAATGAGGGTGAAAAAACGTTACCGTGAAATTGGAAACAATGCTAAGATTCCGTCCCACACGATCCTATATTCGGTCGCCATTTTGATTGTTTTTACAAAACTAAACAACCCGCGCTAAACATCCCATCATGCATTGCTGCGAGTAATGTGCAAATAAGGGATAGGCCAGGGGGTTTACACGAGAGGGCTCCGTCCGATCTGGAAGGAACTTTTCGAAGTCGTTCGTCCGTAGGCCACCGTTGAAGCAACAACGTCCTTTTTACAAATAGATGGAATCATTTCAGCGATTTCTGAACAAAATAATCCTCAACGAAACTTAGAAACATTATATAGGAGTATACAGGCCCTGAAATTGTTTTTGAGCAATAGTACTAGAGTGAAATATTAACGTGCCTCCTCATTATCGATGAATTTCGTAACTTGCTATTATCACGTTAAAGAATAAACCCGTGGTTACGTTCAACAGTTTGCTGGACTCTGATAAAAAATGTGTTTCAAAAACATTTTTACATCAGTTTTTTATATTTTTCAGCTTGTAACGACAGAATCGGTCAATTTAGAAATACAGTGTATGCTATCGGAAAGCATTTTGGCTCAATCTTACTGAAAAGACGAGTTTTTCATTGCTCATGAATATTAATTTATGCAAATGAGACAACTATTTCAAGCAATTGTGTTATGCACCTCCCCCCACCCCCCTCAGGATAGGCCATCTTTAATCTGGACGATTTCACACATGTTGATACAATTTGAAATGCTAGGTGACTTTATGGTTTGTGTTTTAATTTTGTAACAGACTGAGATTGAACACTTCCACACCCATCTCAAACCATAAAATTATCAACACCTCCCACACGATAGTTCTAATGTTTGAATCCTTACCTGTCTCACAGTTAGTACCAGTCCAGCCAACTACACATACACACTGGTAGTACACTTGGGAGTTGACACAAGTTCCCCCATTCTGACAGGGGTAGGACCGACATAGGTCAATAGCTAAAATCAAACAAATAATCGTTAATATTTGTCTTATTTACAAACTCTCGACTTACACAATCAGTAAACTTGGCAATGTCACACTGGGTGGGATTATGTTGAAATTAAATACTCGTTTTTCACTTTTTCTCCACAGAAATCAACTATTGGCACAAAATGGAATTCCAATCCGAGTGTTGCTTAGCAACAGCATATAACTAATCATGCTCTTCTGCAATCCATACTGGTACATGCATACATTGTAATTTCAACATTTTGTAGTTTGAGACGTACATAATCACTGAATGTGCAAAAAAACATTGTAATTGTTTGTACTGTATATATGAAATTAATTTAGTTGACAAGACTAATGACGATTTTAAAACCTAATACATATTTAGTTCTTTTTCAGATTCCCACGAATCACTACACGTAATTGCAACATGCTTCTTAAATTTACTTAACACACCCATGATAATACACTTACATGTGTAGATGTATATAAACTTAAAACATTGAATGAACACTAGAACATCTTAGTTGAATGACCGTTAATGACCCGCTAATCTAATTACCAAGTCGCGTCTTCACATATATTAAAGGGAGGTAGTCGTCGCGCCACGCATTTGAGAGATATATGGGTTTCATAAAAACAAACATGGCGACTTTGACTGTTGCGCAGATCAACGAGTACAAACTGAGACGTTACCAAGCTTTGGTTAGGTAGTTTTAGGTGATTGGAATGTATCGAAGGAATCATCGGCGGTAATTAGTGCAAGTCGCGCCCAGGTCAAACCTCATACTTGTTATAATAGCGCATTGAGTTATGGGAAAATCAATGTTTATCAACACAAATGTCGCATGCGCAGCGCGACGACTACCGCTCTTTAATTTAAACTTTCAGATTTAAATCAGACAACGAACAAATACTAGCCTAAGGTGTGTTATGCACACACTTGTATATACACATTTATTTAAAACATTGCCCATTACGTCAGCCTAACGATAGCCGGTGATTTTACCTGTTTCACAGTTTGTTCCAACCCATCCATCAAGACAAATACAGTTGTAGGAATCCACAAGATCCTCACAGGTAGCAGAATTCTGGCAGGGGTTGCTATCACACTCATTGATTTCTACATGCCGAGGATGGTAAGAACGACACAAGCAAAACACAGCAACGGTAAAAAATAAAGATTAAGCTACAACACTCCATTGCAGAGCCAAGGACATGATTATGGATTTAAAAAATAAACAGCTGTTATCATTCACTAATATCATCAATATCCTTGGCATTGAATGGATTTAGGCAAAATTCAAAAAACAGATGTCATCCAAGAATTATATTTTACACAATATGGAGTAATAATTTAAGCATTGCTTAGTGTTGATATAAAAAGGGTTGTTTTATATTTACTTATTTATTTACTGGGATGCGTAACTTGTATTCTAACAGTGAATAAGGAACAATTCAATTATTAAAAATTTTAGTATTTAATTCAATTATTATTGATATAATAAAATATTCGTCATGCCAATTTAATTATAAACTGGGATGTTAATATAGTTTTGTGAAAAAACTGAATAAATACAGATTATTTACGAAATGTGTTAAAAACTTTTGAGATCGAGATAAAAATATGGGATGACACCTGCAATAAAATACTTGAAGAGACATGCGAGGAAGAGTTTAGTACTCGATAGTACGCAGGCCATGCATTTACCATAACACAGTGCAAACAATTTAAAAATATATATTCCTACCAACTTGACAATTAATTCCAACCCATCCAGGTACACATGTGCACGTGTAGCTGGTGTAAAAATTAGTGCATCGCGCACCATTTTGACAAGGATTTGGTTGACACGCATTCAGCTCTGAAAAACAACAGTTCGATCAGATAAATAAAATTGCCTGACGCGGCGTCCATTTTGGCATACGTGATCCACCATACGAATTGAAAATAAATTGTACCTGTTTGGCAGTTATCTCCATCCCAGCCAGTTGGACATACACATTGATAGTACGTTTGGTGGTTGATACAAGTTGCACCATTCAAGCATGGATAGTATTGACACATGTCGATCGCTGTGAAATTCGATAATAATTGTACATTTCATAATTATTTAGCGGGTCATATACAATTACATTGATGGGACTGAAGTTTTAGGGTTTAGGCCTTACATTTCCATTGACACCACGATATGTAGATTGTTCGTCCTTTTTTTTTATTCTAGTACTTACGTCATGCATTCGTATAATAAACTATTACGTATTTAAATTAAGTAAATGGCTGACAAGAAATGCTGTCAAGACAAGACGAGAATGCTTGAAATGCTGTCTAACCAGTTTATTAAAAGAACACAACGTTATAATCAGTCAGAGACACTACAATTTAATTTGTATTCTTTCCAAAACTGTATAATATATAATTAATATAACCTCTGACGATAGTCATTTGGGGGTACTGCTAAAAACATTTGAAATGAAAAACTCACCAATATCACAATTTATTCCAGTCCAACCACCTAGACAGTCACACGTGTATGTGTTCTGACGATTGTTGCAAATAGCGCCATTCTGACATGGAGCACTGGCACACTCGTTGATGTCTTGGAAAAAAAGTATTACATGTTGAAAGATTGACACGTCTGACACCGAGGATTACACAAGATAGTTGAACGAATCGAACACTCACCTTGAGAACATGTTGATCCAGTCCAACCTGGTACACATATGCATCTATAATTTACGAAATTGTTCTCACAAGTAGCTCCATTGACGCATGGATTGGTAATACATGCATCCATATCTAAGGATGGTAAAATTTATTGTGGATATATGAATTCCAGTTGCTAATATAATATAGATTGCTCATCACCACGAACAGTGAAAACAGAAAATGCTTAAAATAGTATCACAAGTGAGGTAAAGAATACTTTAAACGAATGATAATTCTAGATGTGGATGGTGTATTTAGTTGTCTATCCATAATTGTCGCGTGTACTTACATGTCTCGCATCGTTGTCCGGTGTATCCATCAATACACTGGCAGATAAAATAAGTTTGGTAATTCATACATGTTGCTCCATTCATACACGGAAAAGAGGTGCAAGTGTCAATCGCTGAATCAGAATAAAGAAACAATAATTAGATTATTTTGTTACAAATTGTTTGTACACCAACCATGTTATCCATATAATGTTTTTATGGTTTATGATTTACTCATACCGGTCTGACAGTTCGTTCCCATCCAACCGTTTAAGCATGTACATGTATATTTATTTCTTCCATTTATACAGAATGCGCCGTTCTGACAAGGCCTTGAACTGCATTCGTCTACGTCTGCAACAAAAGAAGATCAGACTATGTATTAGCAATGGTAGTTGAAGCGTCCTTATGAATCATCGCGAGAGTTACGAGATTTAAATTATACGTTGTATGCGTGTACAAATCCTACCGACTTCGCAGTTATCTCCTGTCCATCCCATAATACATTGGCACTCATAACGTGACTGAAAGTCCACACAAACACCTCCGTTCATGCATGGCTGGATGTCACACGCATCAACGGCTGTTGAAAACAATAGAATATACTGTAATCGTATTGTAAACTCTGGGTGAGTATTCAGTTCCCAATACAATATATTAAGTTTCACAAAATATGAACGGTTGTATAGCTACTCACCAATCTGACAATCGGTACCAGTCCAGCCTGGTGAACAGGAACATGAATAGTACGTTTGGAAATTGTTGCATACGCCACCATTATTACACGGATTCACGGGAGCACACAGATTGATAGCTGTAGAAGAAGGAAACGTACAATAATAATCTTTATTGATAAACGTATCCTTAATTGAGATATTGTTCGTAATACAATAAAGTTAAATGCTGAAAGTTAAAATGAAATGAGAAAATAAAAAAAAAAATAAAAAAATTAGACAACAACAACAAAAATTAAAAAAAAAAACATTCTTCACGAGGCAGCTGATAATTTAGATTTAAAGTTTTCTCACATTAAGAAGCCTTGATATACAGATTTGGCTAAATTAATTAATTAATATGTTGTTGTCTTTTGTTTTAAGTATATTTACTAATTTTTCTTCTTTGTTTTGATTGGTCGGTCTTGCAAGAAATTTGTTTAGGCTGTCTTTTCTTAATGTATAATAGTATGAACACGTTAGAAGGAAATGTTTTTCATCCTCAATCTCTCCATTCTGGCAAATTTGGTATTTTCTTTCATGTATTGTGTTCGTTGTGGGTACTAATCCGCGTGCCAGCAACAACGATTTCTATAATTTTGAGTTTTGGAAACTTACGTATTTCACAATCCTGTGAAGTCCATCCCGGTTGACAAACACAAAAGTAGCTTGTCCGTTGATTTTGGCAGTAACCATTGTTTTGACATGGGTTTGATAGACATAGGTCAATAGCTACAATAAAGCAAGTGTTTTGACATTTAGAACAGATCCACTACACGGCTGCAGTATGCAAGTGGTCGTTACATTTACATACACACATTTTTGCAAAGTTATGCATTTTCATAATTTGGTCAAAAATATATATTCAGACTCTACTGGAATCCAACACAAGGTGTCCATTTGCTGAATAAATTACGTGACACAGTTCGATAATACAATTTCACACACTGTAATAAACGCATTTATTATCCTTAAAGTAGGCGAGTGTTTCAAACACTATACCAGTTGCTATTTCGCTCCGTTTGTTACCTATTACACAAAATGCGCCCTCTCAGCCTTCTGTACAAGAGCACGTGAAGTTCTAGTGAGCACGTTGTTGCAGGTGGCGGCATTTAAAGCGGGAGGGTCGTCACCTGCGCATGCGTGGGAGTCCCAGGCGATGATAACAACACGCGCTAAGAA